TTTTATTTTAATTAGCTTTTTAATAAAATTTTTATCAGATTTATATTCAGTATTATTATTAAATTAGATCAACTAAACAACTAATCGATTAATCAATTAATCAACTAATCAATTAATCAATTAATCAATTAGTTAGCAATAATCGATTTGTAATCAATTTTTTAAAAAATTTTCAATCAACTAATTGATTACAATATTTGTTTTGATTCATATCACTATCAGCTACCTAAAATGTGAAAGCTATGTCCAATATCAAAAATTTAGATCAAAGTTATTTAAAATTTTACATATAGGCAGATTTTTTTGTATTACTTTCAAAAACGATCTAATTTTGGTCAAATTTACAGATTATTTGGCCCTGGCCAGGATAATTTTAATTACATGATATGTAAAGTTTATTAAATTTTTCAGTCACTAATTACTGAATTTTGTTATAATTTTGGTCATATGGACGTAATTATTTATTCACTTAATTATTTTTGTCATATAAAGCATATTTTAAAATATAAAATAAAATAAAATAAAATTGAACCTAAAAATTTTATAATATACTAAAAATGGTTAAACAAAAGAAAGTTGAAATGTGGAATCAATATACTATGCGGATAGACAAAAAGGGAAAAAAATATTACAAATGCAAAGCATGTGATAAAGAAGCAGCCAAAAATGCAACAAGATTACAGAAGCATTTGGATATATATTCTTTGCGAAATTTAGCAATAAATAAAGCTTCAAATGTTAATAAGAAACGAAAACAGTTAACATTGGATAATAATAATCCTGATCAGAGTGAATTAGAAACTTTACTTGCCCGTGCTTTTTTCACTTCAGGAATTTTATTTAATACAATTGAAAATCCAGATTTCTGTGCCTTTTTTGAAAAAGCTTGCCCTGCTTTTAATGTCCCATTATGTTTTACTATTTCTTATTCTCTTCTTAATAAAGAATATACCAATTTACAAAATAGCTGTCCAAAATGTTCTTGATGAATCATCTTACCATTGTCTAGTTAGCAATAGTTGGACAAACATTAACAAATCATTAGTAATAAATTATATGATTACTACACCTGCACCAATTTTTTATAGATCAGTTTATACATATAAAGAATATCATACGGCTGAAAACATTGCTAATAGGATTGATGATGTGATACAAGAAACTGAAATTGACAAATATATTAGTATTATTACTGACAACGCAAATAACATGAAGGCAGCCTAGAATATTTTAAAAGCTAAATATTCTGATAAAGTTTTTATTAGATGTTGGGTACATGGCATCAATCTTTGGGTTAAAGACATTCTCAAAAATAACTGGGCTGCACATGTTTTAAAAAAAACTAAAAAGTTAGTTCTGTTTTTTCATAACCATCTAATTCTATTGGCTGTTCTTTGTCATTTGCAAAAGGAAATTTATAATGCTGAAATTGTACTTGTTATAACTATTAATACAAGATGGACGTCAGTTTTTGAGTGCTTTGATCATATTTTACGAGTTCAATCTGCAATATATGCAGTGTTAGCTGAAGAAAATGTTGAAATAAATGATAATATTAAAGATACAATTTTGAATCATGAATTTTGGTTAAATCTTAAAAAGTTATAGGATTTTTTGAAACCTTTTATTGATTTTATACACTGTTTAGAAAGTAATGAACCATATCTTTCTTTGGTGTATAAAACTTTACAAGAATTTAAAAAAATACAATCATAAATAATTCACAAGTCCTAGAAGAATTGTGAAATAAAACTTTGCTGCTAGGTTTAGATGGACCAATATTTTATACAATCCAGCAGTTATTGTTGTATATACACTTGATCTAAGGTATCGGGGTAAAGATCTTGATTTTGGAATGTAGAAAATATTATTAATAAGGAAGTAATTTGAATTGCTGGTAGTGATAATGAAGATCAAGTACTAAATAAATTAGCTGAATATCTTAGAAAATCAGGAGGTTTTGCAAAAAACTATTTGTGGAATAACTTTACCTTAAAACTACTTAATTGGTGAAACTTACGTAAAATTACAAGTAATATAAGATTGTAATTTTCATAACACAACCCTAGCCCTGGCTTATCAGTTTTAAAACTGATAAATCAGGACCAAATAATCTGCAAATTTGACCAGAATTAGATCATTTTTGAAAGTAACACAAAAAAATCTGCCTATATAACTAATAAAACCATAAGACCCTAGCATCACCAACTTAAAAAATTTCGTTAAAAAAATTTCACAGTTAAATTAAGGTTAGGTTTTGCTATTAAGAGATTAAAAAAAGTTTTTTACTACTAAAATTTTGCAAGAAAAACTTTTTATTAATATGCAGAAAGTAGTTTCATAGGTAAAATGTTGAGTTATGAATGATTTTTTGTTGTTTTGATTTTTTACTTTTTTTGTGTTACACCAGATCTTGAATTCTGATTGGCTGGCGAAATAGTAGTGAAATTTTTTAGGATAGTGATGCTAGAAGGGTTATGAAACCACAGCTGCACATTAAGTAAAAAATATTCCTGAGCTAATTTTGTTATCGTTCGGGCCTATTTCTCTAAAAATTTCCATTTTAGAGAGATGGCTAAAGCCAGGTGTGTTTATATGTTTTTTAATATTTAATCAAAATTAGGGTAAGGGTTAGCTAGAGGTTAAGGTTAGAGCAAAACTTATAGGTAAAATTGCCTTCCCAACATTTTTTATTAGTGCTCCGAGGTAGGTTTAGACACTTGTTTTCTTTATTTTTTGTGTTTTTCACTTTTTTTCTTTGTTTTTGTCTCGTCGGGCTGATCCGGGTAAATCAAAATTTATTATTTGATTGGCTGTTGCTCACGTGAACACACCTGGCTTTAGACGACCCCCATTTTAGGAATGAAAAAGTTAAAAAGTTAATTCCGGCCAAAATTATGTAATGCGGGCCCAATCCGTGACAAATTTGGTGCGGCAGCTAGGTTCAATAATCTATTCGATTATACTGCAGCTGCGCCATTTATCTGTCAATTCGTGGCATAAATTTGTGCGCCACAATACAGCATTTCCGCATTGCAATGTTGGAGCACAGAATTTAATTATGGCACTAATTATACGCATGTGTGTTACTCTGAAAGCGTTATTCTGAAAGTGTATACTATATATTGTTTTTTAAATTTCGTAGTTTTGACAGACGGATTAAGTTTAACGTAAGGAAATCTAAATTCAATTGATTAAAAATTATATGTACGTACGAAAGGCTAATAATTAAATAAGGTAGTAAGACAAATGAATGAAATGATGATACAAGGTACTAATTGGTCAATCATATGAATTCATTCGTATGTTCGATGATCTTATCTAATTCAGTAATTGTATAGAGATAATCCTGAGACCCAGTCCCAACGCTAAATTCATGAGGCGTCGAATGAAGTTACGCAATGTCTATTACAGGTAACTCAAATGCTGCAAGGGTGACAATGTGGATAGATGGAAGACAACACGGAAGACGGAAAATAAAAGATAGAAACTTCTTTTAGTTTTTTGCTTAGATCTCAATTTAGTGAGAAAATGGTCAAAAGATCATCTTAATCGTTATCAGTTCGCTCAAGAAACTTTTCAAATAAACTATCAAATCTATATTGGCTTGCAATTTCGATTTTTGCTCCTCCGGATAAAATTCGCAGCACAAATTCCCAAAAATATCAAACAATTTACATATATATTCGGGTTATTTGACAATTAGTGGCTAACAACACTTCGCTTGCTATATCAATCGAGGTACGTACATACGTATTTGATTAAAAGCAGCTACAATTGGAAACAAATAATATATATCAATTAGAAATTTAGCGCTATCTTAAGTCGTACAACCTTTAAATTAGTCCGTTTGTCTAAGAGGTTAAGACGTCATTCTCAATTTCGTTCTGTTATAGTAACTCGAGAAAAAAGAGATCACTTATTATATATGGCAAGACTCTGGTGAAAGTGGTTAACTCGGTGAACCATAAAAAAAAAATATATATTTTTCCCCAAGGAAACCTTTATTCCGAAGAAATGAGTACTACTGTACCACGACTTACAAAATTCGCGCAAGACAATAGTAGAACAACAACGTGGTGGTTGAGTTATTATCCACCCCGTCTTTTGACCCTATTTCTTCTAGGCTCTCTCACGTCTTTTGTAATTGACCATTTGCTTACTCAGAATCATATTACAGAGTATCCAAATGACATTGCAAAGTTGATTGACACCGCCGCTTGGATTCCTCCCACTTGCGGGTTATCCGCAATTTTAGTAGGTTCTATGTTTCCTTTAGCTGATTATTGGTTTATGCGCAAACCGCAAGAATTTCAAAAAGAATGGAGTAATGTTATGAGGTATGGTAGTATGATTGTATTGCATTTATTTATATAAGAATTATAATTTTTGTTAAATTTTTATTTTCCGATTTTTCTCCTAAACAGATGTATGGGTGGATTTATTGGCGTTGCATATGCTGCCACGGTAAGGTTTTGGTTTCTTGCATTAATTTTGTTTTTTCTCTAATCTGATTTTAATCTCATTTTTTTATTTTATTCATTAAACGAAAAAGAAACTGCCTTGGAGTAGCAACTATCAAGTTTCTTGTACGTTATCACTAATATCTATTGTATTATGGTTCCTATTTGACCGAACGATACACGGATTTATCATGTCTGCGTTATTTTCGTCGGTAGGAACGGGTGTTATGTACATGTTAGTTGCTAATGGAATTTATAGGTTAGTAATACTTAAATTTCCTTTGATCTCGTCATTTATTAATATCATATTAGGTAATCAAATCAATTTGACTTATAGTTTTACACATGCTGACTTTTTTGGTGTGCGCTCTTGGATTCCTGTACGTACTCAATATTCTATTTATATAATTGGTTTAATATTTTTATGACACTTTGATGATCTGACTTTTCCTGTTTCTTTTTTTATTCATTTAGTGTATTCTATATTCATCATGTGTATGTTTCGCTACAATAGGAAGGCAATTAATGATAGTGCCAGAAGATTGGTATGATAAGATTGATCAAAACGCAAATTACGAAGTAATTGATTTGACATCAGCGAAAGGTGAATAACAATTATTTAAGTTTGGCACAGTAGGGTGGTGGTTGATAAAAGCATTGAGCGCATTGGTTTATTTAGAAGGTTTTATTATCTGTATTATCATCGGTTTTCATTTCTTTTTTTTTTTTTAATTTGAATGGACAATTGTTTTTGGAACCTTATTTCGGAAATTAGTAAGGATAATCAAAGAAAAAAAAACAAAAGCATCTTGTAAAATTATTATTATTAAAAAAGTATCAATTACTAGCTTATTGTCATACAATTGCATTTAACGAAGGAAACAGAATTTGACCAATTTGACTAATTTTCAC